GATGAATTCCTATAGACTGAACAACTGAGTTGAATAGTGCTTTCCTTTTTCTAGTCACCAGAAGCATTTCTTCTGTTATTTTGTTTACATTACTGTTAAATTGTTCTGTAAACTAGTTCCTGTCGTTTATTTTCAAATTACTTTGAGAACATCACGAGATTTACCAATGTTCTGTTTAGTAGACAGCGGAATGATTGTGATTCAGTCTTTTTTCCTTTCATTTACTTGCATCAACAAAAATAATAGGTATAAAATACGTGCTAGTAAAAAAAATCAAAATCTATGGTTTGTTTTCTATGAGACAACAGATACTACTTATATTATGTTTATATATTCATTATTGTTTCCGAATAGCTCTGGCGAATTAATAATTGTCCACTATATGAAAACTAAAGGAAATTGAAAGAAAAAATTTAGGTCTATAAACCTAGGGTTTAATAACTGAGTGCTGCTTAGATTAATTAATCAGTTAATAGTTGAATACCCTGATCAAATAGGCCAAAGTTGTATTTATTTGAACATGAATACTGGTACAAGGGGGCACCAAATACATATGCGCCACACAGATCTCATTTGCTATGGGTAAGGGCTGTGATACTGCCTGGCTGCCCAAACCGAAGCAGGTGGTTTTCTTAGGGGGCCACACCCGGAGCATTCGACCTGAAGGTCTGATCCACAAGACAGTGGAGCATCGTAAGGAGATGCAGTCCCGTGGTAGCCGGTGACCAACGATTGGTTCATACACCATTTGTTCCTTCAGGATACTGGAGCCCATATGCACCATTGGTTTGGAATCCGGTTAAAGCGCCGGACATTCGCTTTTCGTCTTCTCAATTTCGTAAACAACACTCATGCGAGAAGGTAGTGATTAGGACTTCCCTGGCAGAGGCTATATACGCGTGACAATGTGAGAGCATATTGAGAGGGAGAGCGGACCCTCCCCACTCTCGGCCATACCAGGGCATTTGGAGGCCCACCCCCCAAATGCCCGGGTGTTGAGATTTCGTCAGACACCAACCCATTAGGGCTGATCAGACTTCCAAGATAAGTGAAGTTGTCAACGCGTTCGACTACTTCACTCCCTGTCCTTAGTTCAAGTGTAGACGCAGACCAGTTCTGAATCAACAACTTGCATTTAGAGGGAGAGAAGCGCATTCCAAACATTCTGGCATTGTTGCTTAGTGCTACCAGAAGACTCTGCATTCTATCAGTGTCTTCACCAAACAGGACTATATCATCTACGTATTGTAAGTCGATAAGTGGACTTCGTTGTAGGAGATCAATGCCCGGAAATTCAGTCGACGAGAATGTTATTTCCAGCAGTAGGTCTATGATGAAGTTAAACAAAAATGGAGAAAGTGGATAGCCTTGACGGACACCACTTGAGGTTGCAAAAGCAGACGACAGTTCGCCGTATACTCTGACTTGATTTTCAGTGTTCGAGTAAAGAGCCTTCACAGGGTTTATGTACTTCTGAGGTACGCCTTTCAGTGACAGACACTGCCACAGAATCTCGCGGTCTACCGAGTCAAATGCTGCTTTTAAGTCAAGAAAGACCACCATTGTCTGACGCCGATAAGCATGCTTGCGTTCTAAAACCTGACGAATGGTGAATATGTGGTCGATACAGCCACAACCAGATGTGAAGCCAGCCTGATTTTCTCGTGTTTGCAATTCACGAGTCTTTGTTAGGCGTCCGATAATTATTGAGGCTAGTATTTTAGATGCTATGTTAGTCAAATTAATCCCTCTATGGTTATCACAGAATGATTTCAACCTTTTCTTATATATTGGGACAATCAGTGATTGTGACCAGTCAGATGAGATTACATCCAACTCACAGATTTCAGCTAAAATGTTAGTTAACTTAATCGCTAAAACTAGACCATCATCCTTGAAGACCACTGGAGTCAATTCATCTGAACCAGCTGCCCTTCCTCGTTTCAGATTAACTATAGCCTTTTGAACTTTAGCTAGAGTCGGAGGACCTACTTCAATGTTTCATTCACACTCTGGGAATGGTTGGTATTTGTAGAGTAGGTGAAGGCTAGCTGAACTGCTCCTTAAAGTGTTCCGCCCATCGTTCTAAACGTCTAGACTGGGAGCTAACTTCTTAATTCCAGTTTCTTTTATTAGTCTGAAAAGTTGTTCGGTGTTACCTACGGCCGCTGCCTTTTCCATCTTTTTTATTTCGTTGCCCACCACTGCTCACGGTCGTTCCTTAGGCTTTTGGTTAACCTAGATCTGATTTGTTTTCGTTATTCATCGTGTTCAGAGTCTGGTCGGATGAGTTTACGAGAATCTTAGTAGAAATCCATTGGTTTTTCGTAACATTTTGTTTCAAATCACTAATAGATTTCGATCACTATAATACAAATGCATCCACTTGTGATTTACAATCATGGAAATGTTATCACTCATCATTAATTATTGTATGACTCGTTGTTTTGTTCACCTAAATATCCCATTTTTGTTGACATTCTTTTCCTATGATGGTGCGCTTGGCGTGGCAACATAAACTGATATACTTTTGTACAATATTCGCTTAGATTATCTCTAACGAAAACTTCAAAAACCTAAACTTGTGTAAATTTTTCACACATGGCTATTTGCTTTGCTAGTTTTAACGATTTCATTGTATAATTTTGTTCTTCAAATCAGCGTCCATAGTTTCCGTACTCTAGTATTTCCTGTTAGGTAAAGTTGAAGAGCTGTGGTAAAAACTTCTAATAGTCTAGACCAAATTATGTCTCAAATACCACTATCAAATTTTGTTCATTCTCATGTTTTTATCTTTTCATTAATCTCTGTGTTGTGCCGGTACAAACGGTTCCATGTTGGATTTGTCTGACTAACTGCTAGCGTGAGCTTTTATGAAAAAGGTCTATTACATTGACAGTGTTATCCTCGTTTGATATCTTTGATTGTACATTTTTTTCTAAGATGTCATCCTATGTAACATTTCATCGGCAAACTATGGTACCAGTTTTATGCTCTTTACTAATTACCTGCATCAACGTATCTCAAACATCAACCAGTAAAAATAAAAGCGACTTAGAGCATTTCGCAGACGTGTATCGATTGGAATTACCATATTTAAGAGAGTAATAATTTGTCTCACTAAAGTAGAATGTTTTGAATGGTTGTGACAGGAGTTGATATATCGGCAGTTGAAGTCATGGATTACTAAGACTTCGTGTATTTATCGATTGATCGTGATGCGTACAGAAACATCACTAGTAAATCTAAGGATTGATGAATTCCTATAGACTGAACAACTGAGTTGAATAGTGCTTTCCTTTTTCTAGTCACCAGAAGCATTTCTTCTGTTATTTTGTTTACATTACTGTTAAATTGTTCTGTAAACTAGTTCCTGTCGTTTATTTTCAAATTACTTTGAGAACATCACGAGATTTACCAATGTTCTGTTTAGTAGACAGCGGAATGATTGTGATTCAGTCTTTTTTCCTTTCATTTACTTGCATCAACAAAAATAATAGGTATAAAATACGTGCTAGTAAAAAAATCAAAATCTATGGTTTGTTTTCTATGAGACAACAGATACTACTTATATTATGTTTATATATTCATTATTGTTTCCGAATAGCTCTGGCGAATTAATAATTGTCCACTATATGAAAACTAAAGGAAATTGAAAGAAAAAATTTAGGTCTATAAACCTAGGGTTTAATAACTGAGTGCTGCTTAGATTAATTAATCAGTTAATAGTTGAATACCCTGATCAAATAGGCCAAAGTTGTATTTATTTGAACATGAATACTGGTACAAGGGGGCACCAAATACATATGCGCCACACAGATCTCATTTGCTATGGGTAAGGGCTGTGATACTGCCTGGCTGCCCAAACCGAAGCAGGTGGTTTTCTTAGGGGGCCACACCCGGAGCATTCGACCTGAAGGTCTGATCCACAAGACAGTGGAGCATCGTAAGGAGATGCAGTCCCGTGGTAGCCGGTGACCAACGATTGGTTCATACACCATTTGTTCCTTCAGGATACTGGAGCCCATATGCACCATTGGTTTGGAATAAGGGTTTTCCATCTCCCCTAGATGAACTCTCTGTGCCCACCAACCCAGTTAAAGTCGGTGCCGGACATTCGCTTTTCGTCTTCTCAATTTCGTAGACAACACTCGTTGTGTGCGAATGTAATGAGTAGGACTTCCCTGTAAGAGTCTATATACGCGTGACAATGTGAGAGCATTTGAAGAGGGAGAGCGGGTTCTCTCCACTCTTGGGTGTACCAGGCCATTTGGGGGCAAACAGTGGAATTCAGGACGTGTGTTTCTTTCTATTTGGGACTCGTCAGTCGGATGTACCTGCATCTCAGAGTTGATGTTCACTCTGGTACTTGAACTCAGTACCGTTCGCTCTAAACACCATCGTGTTATCCATCTAGCTAGTGAATCTAGCAAAGTGTATTTAGATCTATCATAAATATCATTTAAATAATACCTGTTTGTAAAATAACTTTGTAGACTTTGATTCGTTTACTCAATTTTGAATCATAAGTTATTCTTAACTCAATCTTTTTTTTTAAACTAGTATCTCTGATGTTTCCATATTCATTAAAGCTTAAATTAAATCATCATTTTATTTTGTTGATATTTATTCATTGTACTGATATGAGATGTGATAACTTTGATCAATGTTGATAATGATATATAACACTTGTTTTGTACACATGGGTAATTCTCTTAATTAAAGAAAAGTAAAAAAAACAATGATTTGAGTAGTATAATATAAATTTATTGTGCTTTTACTCATTTCATGTTATTTTGTATCATTAACTTATACAGATCTTGCAATATAGCACAAGTAAACATGTTATGTTTCCATTACTTATTATAAAAAAGATTGTTTTTTTCGTCTTTTTGTTTTTAAGGAAAGATCTTTTTTAAGTATTTGCTTATTACATTTTTTTCTGTATATATCTATTTATTAAAGCATTGAATTGGAACTAATTTGAAAGCACACACAGTATGTCAAGTGGTGGGGCAACTAGTGTAGTGACGATGAAAGCAACCGCAGCTGCATTCCCACAGTCCAATTCACAAGCACAAAAACAGCATTCACAAAATAATTTACAACCAACAAATGTGTTTGATCAACAAATTCAGTTACAACAGCAACAGCATCAACAACACCAGCAACATTTGTTACAACAACAACAACAACAATTACAGCACAATCCAAGTCAGCATTCTCAATTGCATCGACTATCTCAGCCACATTTATCTGCATCAATTCATCCTGTTCAATCGATTGCTCAAAATGTTGTTGCTGCCAGTGGTCATTCAACTCATCCAAGTGTCTTTCCAAATGCTGAATTTTTTCAAACATTACAACAAACTGCCGCAGCGGCTGCATTACCAACTGTATTACCATACGATCAATCACAATATATTGGTCAATTAATGTATTTCCCTTATCCCACAGCTGCTGCTGCTGCCGCAAATGGATTGTTCAATACTGGACAATCAAATGATACTACTACTCATCATATGTCGATTGGTTCGTCTACACCTGGTGGTAGTGGTGCTGGTAATCAAGCAACAATTATTAATCAAGCATCGTGTCATGCTACAGCTGGACAATTATTAACTGGTGGACTTGTATCAGCCACACCTAGCGGAATGATGACTTTGAATAATGCTACTGGTTCGAATCAAGTCAATAATGCTAATCATCTCTTTGCATCTGGAGCAGGATTAGTTGGAATTGGTGGCAGTGGCGTCGGTGGTGCAGCCGGTTCAAATGCGGTTTCTGTGTCTAATTCCGCTTCTTTAGCACCTTTATTTACAACTGCTCATTTTTATCCACACCATCATACACAGCAAACAGGTCAACAACCGCCACAACAACAGTTTCAAATTCATCATTCATTACAACAACCGCATCATCCACATACATCTGTACATATGCAACATGTTCAAACACTTACAGGTCATCCAGGTGTCCATCTACAACAACAACAACAACAGTCGACCGCCGCTGTTGCTGCAGCAGCAGCAGCTGCTGCTGCCGCCACTGTTCTATTGCCAAGCTCCATATCGTCAGCATCACAACTTAATATGCTATCCTCTCAACAAACTCATCAACCGGTGCATTCAACTTCACAAAATCATTCAAATCATAATAATAATAGTAATAATAATAATGAAAATTTACAAAAAACTGAAGAAAAATTACAATCTACTACACCAGTGCATACACCACAAAAACAGTCTGATCAAGAACTATTATCCCAGTCTACTCAACTAGGTACACCATCTCAAGGAAATAATAGTAGTTTGGATGCTAGTTCAACTACAGTGAAACGTGATAACAATGGTACAGGACATTTTGTGTAAGTCTATTATTCATGAATACTTTATTTTACTGCTTGTTTCTTTGTAATGAGAACTTGTGATATGCTTCCTGAATACCTTAACTGGAGTAGGCGGGTAGCAAGATTCAAGCTTGTGATCTAGTGGCCGGAAGTCGAACGCCATTGCTTACTGCCAAACCACCATTCCGTTTTAAACTTACTAAGTTATGTATACTTGATAAACATAGTTTTATTTGGTGAAGACGCTGACAAAATGATGAGTCTTCTGACCACTCTAAGCAACAATGCAAGCATCAGCCCTTGTAGTCTGGTGTGTGACGAAATCTCAGCACGGATACAGAAGGCTCGACTAGCTTTTACCAGCTTGCGTCATTTATGGCGTATATATGGGACCATCGAGTAAGTAACACAGTTGTTAGGAAACGGGTACTAGGTAAGGATGGCAAATCAATTGATGACATAGTGAAACTTCATCAGTTGAGATGGCTGGGACACGTGTTACGTATACCCAACGACCGACTGCCTCGACGTGCTATGTTCAGTGGTATAGGAGTAGGTTGGAAGAAAGCTAGGGCGGCCAAACCAAAACATGGCACAAGTCCATGAAGTCACTGACAAGTGGACTGAGTCATGTTGGTAGGTGTAGACTACCTGGTTGGGGACCACGAGATGATAGCAACCGATGGTTAGAGACCCTGGATTATACTCTTTAAATAACATCTCCAAACCCTAATCTTCCCGATTACTTCTTATACTCTTACTACCTCTACCACTACGGGATTTGAATCGACAATTGCATCTCTGTGCTAATGTCGTGTGGCAACTCGAACTGATGTACGTACGTACGAAGTTCTACGTTGTTACTGACTGGCTGATAAACATGTTAGAGTTTCTTATGTATGCGAGATTTTCATGTTAATCGTTAAGTCAGAGTTTATGGCAAACTGTCATCAAGATTTTCAACGTCAAGCGGTGTTCGTCAAGATTGCTTACTGTCTCCTTCTTTACTTAGTTTTTTTATAGACATTCTCCTAGCGGCAGCTCTCTCATCGTCCAACTTTTCAGGAATCGACCTCTTACCAGATGACTCACTTGTTGACTTAGGATATGCAAATTATGAAATGCTGTTTAATGAGGACGCTGATAGATACAGTGTTCATATCTCGTTGAGCGACGATGCAAGCGTGTTGAGATGGGTCTTTATCCCGCCAAATGCTAAATGCTTCTCCACAACTGGTCTATGTCAACGTTTGGACCAATGGTAGGGAACAAAGTAGTTGAATATTATGTTCTATGGCCCGTCAAATATTACGTCACAGGATCTCCAATCAGAACACCGGCTTATATGACCTTGTCCCTATGCTGAACCACTGATACACCAACCAGCACTAACAACCTTGTGTCACCTCGGAGTCTTTAGTGGTCCTCTGTATGTATAGTAGCTTCTCTCCTAACCTAGTTCGTTCAGTCCAGAACACGAATATCAGACATACGTGGTTTATGTACAAACAGGCCAGACCATCTCACACCATAAAATGAAAAATAACAATTATTCAAGATCAAGCCAAAAGTGGGAATAAATTGAAGATGGTAAATCGTATAACAGTAGCCAGTTGGTCAAGTGAAAGCGTATGATAAAAGGAATATGAATGTAGCTATAATCTAGTTACTTAATAATTATCCAATAAGAATATATATGTAATAATTGTCCATAAATAATCCCTAGTAGTTACCACTCATTTATTCTTCGTTCGGATGTAACATCGATCGTTTCGATCACTTCTGTTATCTTGGGATTCTGATCAGTTCCAGTGTTTTGGTGTCTGATGAAATATTGGTACGAGTTCAGATGGCTCTATTGGTTTTTGTCAATTTATGTTGATTATGGTGTAGGCAAAATTTTGAATGTCAGTATTCCTTCGTATATTCTTTCCCACTTTGTTTTTTAAAACTATAATCCCAATGTTCAGTCGTCCTTATTGTCATTGTTACCACATTATTTCGATCTCTTTTCCCATTCATCTTGTTAGTACTTCAAGTTGAATCTTTCTCTACGTTGGTGTTCCTACTAACTGACTGACTTAGCCATATTTCTCATTATTGATAAACATCATTTCCTGTTTATTATTAAGTGTAATATGTCATGACTTTCTACTTACATCGATTAGTTATTAAATGTTGATTCAACTGTTCACATATCTATAATTTCATATTCACAAATGTGGATCATTCTACGTTGAATAATTGCATGTTCACACTCGTTCGGGGAAAGTGAATTTAACGGTGTTTGTTTATACACATTATGATAAGATTCATTTACTCTTTTTCTATTTTCTCAAGTATTTGCTGTTCTAATAGAAGTGATATAAGAATTTATCACTAGAGTGCAAATAATACCTTTTAGATTTTTAGTGAACTTTAGATGCGTTATGAACTTCGATCAAGTGTACAATGTAATTCATCTGTCTGTGGGTATATTGTTACCGTTTACTACTTTTAACTTGATATAAATGAAATAATCCAATTAATTTTGTTTATTTAATTTTAGATGCGGTGTATGCGGTCGAGAATTCGGTATGCGATGTCGTCTTATCGCTCATACTCGACGTCATACTGGTGAACGTCCTTTTCCTTGTGCTGATTGTGGACGAGCTTTTTCAGATAGAGGAAATTTACAACGTCATCGTTATACTCATTCAAGTCAACCAAGATTTCATTGTACAGTTTGTGGAAAATCTTTCCGTCAAGTAATCAATTAGTTAATTAATATTTGCAGTTGACGAAGTTAATTGATTTTATTAACTCCATTTTCAGATGCAAGGTCGTGGATGCCCACTCTTAAGGAGTCCCATGCCAGGGAGAAATAACCATCCAGTCCTTACATATTTTTATTGATGGCCTAACTAAGACTAGTTCGTGATTTGAAACTGAAAATTCTACAATCTCCACAAATCTTGAATTCTAATAACAGTGTAATCAGCGAATCTTCTTAATACTCCGACAGTAGGGAATTATGAAACATTACCCCCTCCTATCTTGCTTTTATAAATCTCACTAATCCCTCACATCATAACACTATTACTGTTTATGCATACATGTACAATTGTGGGATATACATTGACCATTTAATCTGGTTGTTTTACTTTGTGACAGCTTAAACCGATGCACACATCTGCCAGGTTCTACGTTGCATATGACTAACTACCTTGTTTCCATTCGCCTTTAGACACCAGTGACCCTTGTATAGTGAGGATTATCTTGAGGATACATAGATAACATCAGAGACAATGTAATAACGATGGCTTAGTTGTTGAAACACTCAGTTTCTAATTAATAAGTTAATTATTGATACTGTTTCGGTCTGGGTATTCAAATAAAGAATCGCCATTCATCCCATCAAAATTGTGGCTCAAAAGTAATACCCAGCATATACAATAGTTTTGATATCACATTGAATGAAAGAAGTAAAACTAACATCTTTTTTGGTTCTTATTTTTCTATTTTAGAGATAAATTTGTTCACTAATGTGCGTTTATACTTTTCACTATTATTATCCCATATTCTATGTTCATTTTTCATTAGGCTTCATGTTTATCAAATCATCGACGTTTTCATTGTGCTGGAGCTACAGGTCGTCCTTGTCCTTTCTGTCAACGTTCTTTCCGTTCTTCGTCCAGTCTTCAGATGCATATTCGGTGGAAACATCGTGCTGATGCTGCGGCAGCTGTAGCAGCAGCTGCGGCCGCCGCTGCAGCTAACGGTTCATCTTCACTTTCTGAAGCATTCACACATTTACCAGGATTAACATCATATGTTACAACTGCAACAGTTAACGGAATTCCAACAATGTCTCTAAATGGAAGTAAGTGAACTGTTTTCTTAACAGAAGTATCAGTCATTCAATGTTACCTCAGATTATACCACTGGGATCCGCTAACGATAAAGCCTTTTAATATTTTTAAACATAAAAAACCCCTTGTATCACTTGTAATTTTTTTATCGGTTTTAAATCATGATCTGATCATTATTGAAAATCTGTAAGGACTGAACAATCATTTCTCCCTAGCATGGGACTCCTCAAGTGTGGGCATCCACGACCTTGCACCTAAGAATCGAATCCAGTAACTTCGTTATCGCGCATGAACACTTAACCTTTAAACAAATGAGTCGGTATCCAGTGGTTTTAGTGTCTACACTGACCCATTTGCCGTGTTGTGTGATCATTTATAGCCTGGGCTGATTAACTGTTTCACTCACGACGTAGTTGAATTCCTCAGGCTTTTTTGCTAACTTGGTGTAGGTCGGTAATATCCTCTGTTCAAGTTTATTTCCGCCTCTTTTTTACGTGTTGTAGTATAACGCAAAGATTAACTAATCTGTCTAGTTTCAAATGAAACCAAAGGTGTTCATTAGGTATTGTCAGTCCAGTCAGTTTTCCTTTTTATTTAAACAGGTTAAATGTGTGCGACTGGAATCTGCTGGAAAAATGGATTTTCCATTCTTTAATTTGTTACTATACGTATACCTACGAAGTTACACAATATTACTGTCTATAAGCGATAAAAGAATGTAGTCTCGATTTACCATGTTAGGTATCTAAAACCAAGTAAAATAATCACAGTAGGGTATTGCAACCGATTTCATCAGCATAAACAACATACCACTGTGGTTGAGTGTTCTTAAAATTCAGTTAGTGAGATTTATACGATTTAACAGATTTTGAACACTGAAAACTCTAATACAGTTTAAAGCATAGTTTGAAGAAATTAAGAATAAGGCTTAGTGAAATTAAATCTTTAGCATTAGTTACCCATACTGAAAAGAATACAATCAGTGATGAATGAATGATTATATGTGAGTAAGCTAAAAAGATTTATGATATGAGGAGGAATGTTAGTAGTGATGAAGTATATGGACTTAAGTGATAATAGTTGTGTTCGTAGGTAAATACTTTCCGGATACCTCACACTAATAAAGGATATTTCTTTCTAAGGAACCTGAATTAGTATCAATTATTTTTATCGACATTGTAATGTGACGATAACCACTCAGGAATTGATTGTTCTTAACCATGCACTTGATCTGTTTGACAACATTTGTTCCCAATCACGACATACAGTAACCCGATTGTATAATAGAAGATAGGTGTTTATATTCAAAACTGATCTATTCTGATTTTATTTTTGTAACTGTAAGCAGATAGTTGATATTCTGTTTGAGAAAACCTACTTTTACTGCACTTCGGCACATTCAGTATTATGATTTCATCTAATCTCAAGTTCATCACCTTTATTTCTATCACTTCCAGTATTCAAACTTCGAAAGTTGTTTCTTAGTCAATATGAATGGTTCTGCTGTAGTTTCAATAGGCAAGCCTGATTACTCAACCAGAGTCGGCAGCTTTAACACACTACATTAGTTACTTCAACATAGTGATCATTCCATAGTCTTTGAATCATAAATTAAGTAGTTGTTTTGTCCCCCTCCCAGTTTAGGATTGGTAACTTAGCATGTAATTCATACATAATCCCGTTTTCACAGGTGATCTTCAAAATGAAACCCTCATGTCTTCCACATCCCTTGCTTCTTCAAATGTGAATAGTAGTAATGTTTCCAGTCTTATGGCTCCTATCACTAGTAATAATGGTGGAAGAATGGATTCTATTTTAGGTACAACAACAACGACAACTAATATTGGGTCGCCGAATAAAAGGAAATGGCGTCGAAAATCTAAACCGAAACAAGCTCAAAACGCGTTTGGAAAATTGGTAAGCTGTAGTTTTTTCCAATCATTTCTCAATTATTCTATTATTAGAAATTTGAGACCATATAGTCCAATGTGACACTAATTCTTCAGCTTACTCACAGCTTCAATTTCTTCATCTTCCTCAGTGTGAATGCGACTAAGGATCATTCAATTTATTTGCCTTCCTTACACTAACAGTCATAACTCGGTATAGTGCTGTGTTTATATATTCATGATTCTATGATAGAGCTGACAATGATCGTGTTTCGGTTAACTTCAATTGCCTTTTAGATGAATTCCTATATGTTTTTTTATATCATCTATTTCTTTTGGTTTCATCAAATCAGTCACTAGCTGGAATTTTTCAGTCTTAGGAGATAGAAAATCGCACAAATTATGTTTAATATTTACGGTTGTGAATTGAAGTCGACTGTGGTCATTACAAACTGTTTATAAATCTTCTTGAGTGCATGTTTTCGGGTGTATGTGAGAGAGAGTGTTAAGTCATGAAATTATATAAGGTGTATGATATAATTGTGTATCATTTCATATGTCAAGTGATTACACTCCCAGCATTCGTTAATAATAATTACTAACTGGAACTGATTCACACAATAGGTTCGTATTTCGTCTTTCGTCTAATATGATTAGTTGAATTATAAATATCTTTTAAAAACTTCTTAACTGTACTACTATTAGCTGTGCAATGGCTTATATTAGTCAAAGCACTAAAGTTTCAAATAATAGCTTGAAGGTTCGAACCCCGCTCTAGCTACCTTTATATGTGGAGAGAGAGAGAGAAAGAAAGTGATTTATCCCATTTATATTTTAATAATAAATTATAATTATATACATATCGTGTATTCAAGCAAGAAAAAATTATTTCTATCTGTTAAATCGTTGAATGCTATGAAATTTTTCCAATTGGATAACGTTGTGTAACTAGTTTGGCACATTGTTTGATTTGCACATAATTTATACAATTATTTAATAGCATGGTTTTCTTTACTACTTATTATTGTAGACTGGTGATGGATTGAATTTATTAGCTGGGATTAATTTAAGTGAAGGCATCGATGTTAATGCTGCTGCAGCTGCTGCTGGAGCGGCGGCTGCTGCTATCGGTGGTCCAGTTCCATTAGATCGTAAAGGTCGTCCATGTAATTATCCTTGTCCTGCTTGTCCACGTCGTTTCGCTTTCCAATGTCGTCTTGCTGCACATCTTCGATGTCATACTAATATTCGTCCATTTATTTGTATTGATTGTGGTCGTGCATTCACACAAAGAGGTTATTTAGTTCGTCATGCAGCTGTTCATAAATTAGATAGACCATTTTCATGTGGATTATGTGATCGATCCTATAAACATTATGGTTCATTAGTAAATCATCGACGAACTCATAGTAAAAGTAGTGGTAATGCAACAAATCTTGGTAATCTAAATCTTTTATCAAATTTAGGAACAATTACATCAACCAATATTGGGACATTATCTAGTTTAGAAGAAGTAGTCAGTGGTGCATTAGGTCAATCACATAAAACTGATTCAACATCAGATACAATGAATAATCAATCAACTACAACCATTACATTATTACCAGTTAGTAAAGTTGAAGAAATTTTACCCGGTGATCTTAATAGTTCTATTCAACAAGTATGTTTATCATCAGGCAGTAATATATTAACTGTTTCTGAGGGTCAAGAACAACAGCAACATAATTCAGAACAAGTAACATCTCATCAGCTTACTGCCACTGCAGTATGGCCAATTTTAGCCACAGGTGGTGGCGGTGGTAGTGTTGGTATTAATCATGTTTCACAAGCTCAATTAATTCCTTCCTCTATTGTACAGCAACAATCAAGGCAAGCTATGGTTTCTGGTTCACATTTCTCTACTATAACGATCTCACCTACACAATTAGCTCAACCTAATCAACCGTCTTCATCATCATCTCAACAACAACAACAATTACCACTTGTAACCGCCCCACGACCACCTCACTTAAGTCAATCAACCAGTACAACTATGTTATCAACTGCTAGTGTAATAGCTGGTAATGGTGGTACATCTGCTCCTACATTTGTAACTCTTCCTTTATTCAATGGTTCAATACAAAATAACTTGACAGAATCTGATAGATCTATTATTAATGGTCAGTTAACTCCTCATTCACATCATCAATTTCATTGTCCAACAAGTACATTGTCCGATTCATCACAACAACAACAACATCATATTCAAATTGCACAAACAACGGCAACATTACAACAACAACAACAACACATTCAAGCAAATAATTCAACTACACGAGTAAGCGGTGTCGATTCAAATAATAATAATACAGCTCCAGTACTACATGTACTACAACCATCACCGAGCATTTTCTTCTCACCGTACTATCTACCACATTCGGCAGCATCTCAAATGTAGACACATACTCACACACTTGCATACATACATGAAAGCAACAGTTGAACTTTGGTAGAATTTATTCTTGCTAATACAAAACATCTATGTATCCACTTATATAAATGTATTTATATGCATGACTATATATATAGCTCAAATAGTGATGCAACACACTGGGTTACTACTAACTTTTTTTTTTCATTTTTATGTATGAAAAAAAGACGTTCCAATTGTAATTTATATTGATAATTAGGATCATGTTCTCTCTATTGCCCTCTATTTTTTTCTCCTCATTTTATCCCTTGTTTACGTGTGCGTGCGTGTGTATGGATGTAAATTTGTGCCATATACACGTGTACAACAATTACACGCGTACATTAATTTATCTGCTTATATTATAATTATTTGTTTATTCATTATTTAATAATAATAATAATAATAATAATACTGCTACAATTGTCTTATTCCATAATGATCGATTCGATTCTCATCATTAAAACTACTATTATTATCTCATTATTATTATTGTCAGTATTTAGTATAATTATGATTATCATATGTGATCTCTGTGTTGTTTTCTTCTCTCTCTCTCTCTCTCGTTTGTATGTTTGTTTTACACCTACTTTCCCTTCCTTCCCTCTCTCTCTCTTATATATATATATATATATATATATATATATATATATATATATATATATATATATATATATATATAATTGTTAGATATAAAAAGATCGTCATGTAGAAGATTTCAATCAAGTTGGTTTCTGTTTTGTCGTCTTTATTTTTTACAGTTGCTTATTCATATTGCATTTCTTTTAACTCGTTGTCTTGTTCACGTATTCTTATTCTCTCTTTCTCTTTATTTCCTTTCTTGTTTGTATTCCTAACTGACTGATTGATTGACAATAATAATGACACGTTCATCAGAGAGAATAATTAATATATATATGTATGTATATCTTTATCTTTTGTATATTTTCAATGTATACTGTATGAATGACATGAATGCTTCATTGTTTCTATTCTTCTCCTTTTTTCTTCTCACTCACTCACTCACTCCACTCATTTACTGAATTTGGATCCTTATCATTACTGCTGTCTCTTGTTGTATTGTATTTCTCTATTTTTTAAACAAATCACTTATTGTCTATTGTATTATTATTCTTTGTATGTTTATGTGAATGTGTATTTGGTTATATTTTTTAGAATGATTATTCATACACCATTGAATAATGATGATGATGATGATCACTATCATTATCATGTAACTGGGAGTTTCTTCCATTTAATTTTTTTTTTCATTTTCTTAAATAATTACTATTTTAAATGAATTTGTTTCGTTTTAATGAGCAAACTAACCTTAATCTTATATACATAAAGAAACAAACAAACACACACAGACATATATATCTACACAGATACATAGAGACAAAGAAGATGTCATCATTGTTTGTTGTGTTTATTTTATGATGTACGAATGAGAATTTCTATCAACAAAAATGTTTCGCCAAATATTTGTTGATTATTTATTATGTGTATTATTATGGTGATGATGATGATTGTACTTTCATCAAATAACCATATTAATAATAATCATAGTTATAGACAGAGTTGATTTTAATATTCCTTTTATTTATTATTTATTACACACAACAATTAGTATTATGTAAATATACGTGTATCTGTGTGTGTAATGTATGTATACTCTCTCTCTCTGTGTGTGTGTGTGCCTCTTCACTTCTCTTGTAGACCTATATATCTATATACGTGTGCATATTTTCAATCTAAACACATTCTCTTCTTTGCCTTGTTATTGCTTGTTTTGTTTTAAAAATGATAAATATATATAATCTATGCATATATATAGATATATACACCTTTCATCTATCCATCTCTCTAAATGCATTCAATGTATTTGTATGTATCTATTTATTTATCTATAATGTATTTGTTTCTTCTTTTCTCTTCTCTTCACTCACTCATTCTCTACCTGCCTCTATGTGTATGTGTTTACTTACTTGTGTCTGTGTATGAGTGAATAGGTGAATCAATAATGACTCTTTTTCTCTCTCATTCATTCATTCATATATACATACATTTTAATATGATCACTACTATTTAGTAATGTTTATATCATGTTTATTGTTTATTGCAAAGTATTCTTATTAATATTTAAATTATAAATACAATACAAGTATTATAACTATTATGTATTGTTATAATACTTATTTGGTATGATTACTAGTAGTATATTTATCATCATGTTAATAATATTACCTAACAAGCGCATACATAAGATAAAGTAGTTAGTTAGCCCAATTCTCTTCAATGTAGTCTATTTCACAAGGATATAAAATGATCAATCAAATAATATGGATATTACCACCACCACCACCACAACAACAACAACTACTAGTAGTAGTAGTAGTGGGGGTAATCTGGAAAGAGAATCTATCCATTATCATCAACAATGAATTCATTCATCTCTTTATTCTTCTTATTGTTTATTAATTTTTTTGTAAGAAAAAAGAAACAATTTTTTTGGTTTTTCTCTTAAATAAATTTTCTAAAAAAAAATTAATGATGAGGATAATGTGAATGATTTATTCGATTATTATTATTTTGTCAGATCATACATTGTAAACTGATAGTCATTGTGTGTGTATGTGTGTGTGGGGGGGGGGTTGATGATTGGTTGTTGACGAAGATAAATTCAACTTGACAATTGTTTATATATGATGATTCCAATAATCGTTTACGTGAATTTTACACATAGCAACATATTTAATAGACGATCAAATAAAAGAATATAAAATAACGGAATGTACTTTTGTTTTATTATTACTAAATTAGTGTATTCCATCAAATTGGGTATTCTTTTGTCTGTTTGTTTAATCTACTTCTCTGTTGTTGTTTTTTTTCCTTTTTCCAATACCATAGTTCATTATTTACTAACAATCATTTCCATATAGATAATCAATGAACAATAATAATAATAATTAGAGAGGTAAACAATTGTGTCTATGTATTTATTTATTTATTCATTTACATTGTTTCTTATTTTAACCCGGTATATTTTACTCGTATAAATCTATCTATATTCATTGCATAAATGATATGTAGACAACTTTAAATTATCATATGAATAATGACATATATTTTTATTTGCACTAATGCCACTACGACTAATTGCATTGTTACAATGAAATCAGTTTATTTATGTCTTCCTTTCAAAAAAAAAGGGAAAGATTGAAAGAAAGAAAGAAACCAAAAGCGAAAACAACCAGTTTATCTTCGCTGACTCCTCATCTTTTTTGTTTGTTTGTTTTTATTACTATTTACAATGATGAAATGTTGACTGTTATCACATTTAGCCAAAATGAGTTTCGATATATACATAACCATTTATAACACAGAATAGTAAAATTATATTCTGTGGTATGTGTAAAACAAGTTTTAATCGTAATTTTCTCTTTTTTTCCCACTTCTGTATCTTTTTATTCTTCTGTAAAAAGCATTTTCTCTCTTTCTCTCTCTTTCTTTATGTTAATTAATTCATTGTTAATTATGATTTGTGTTCTATTATTAAATGAAATAGCTGGGAAAATAAGTTAGAAATTAGTAATCTCTTTAAACAGAAGAGATAATCATAATTTAGGTTTACCAGTATAGTGGTTGTAAAGATTATTAAGCTTTTGATTGAGATTATGGACTGGTTGATGTTAGACTACTTTCGGAAACCTGGAAGCACTGGACGGCCGTTTCATCCTATTGTAGGACTCCTCAGCAGTGCGCACCCACGATCCCGCTCACGGGATTCGAACCCAGGGCGTTCAGTCTCTTGCGCGAACGCTTAACATACTGGACCACTAAGCCGGCATTCAATGGTGTTAATGTCTGACATCAACCAATCCACGAAATTGCGCGACCATCTCCCATTGTACTGAAGTAGATACATGTATCTACCCGACACTGATTAGCTCACTAGAACCTCAAGAATTCCCTCATGGAGCTAGTCACTAGTGAGCACATGTGAATTAATTGTTTTATTTATTTGTTAGCTGAGAATAGATTCATAAATATAGTAATATAGTTTTGAAAATACAAAAAGAAAATCACTATTAATCTTTATAATTAATTAAGATGAGTTCATTATTTCCTGACTAATTTATTCATCCAATGATTATCGTCATCATGATCGGTTAAATGCAAACAGTGTTAAGGTTGTTCTTCTTTTTTTTGTGTGTGTGGAGTAATAATGATTATAGATAATGGATTCCATCCACTTCTGTTGGTTTTTTTTTAGTTAGAAAGTTTGCGATGAAACCGTTATCATCATATAATGAAGATATTTTAAGATCAATCCATATTTTATCATTGATTAACTAGCAATCTAAATCAGAATTAGATAGAGTTATTTAAGATGTAGTAAAGATGGATCAATCGTCTCTTTTTTTTTGTTGTATATAGAAGTTTATCACAATCTAAAAGCTAGATATATATTCATCGATTGTTGATGGTCATGATTAAGGTATTTTGTAGATATCAGAGATTTAGCATTATAATATAAGATTGTTTATTCTAAGATGTAAGTCAATTCTATCTTGTCTCATAATGGCTGATTCATATTGTTATGTGGAAAAATATATTATACTAGTTTCTTTTGATCTTCATTTACTTATCTTATTGAAAAATTTAATGCTTAATTTTTATAATTTAAATGTGATTAAGTAGTGAGAAATGTTTTTCTTTAAAATAAAATAGCTGTTAAAATGAACATGAATATATACTTTTGTTGTCATATTTATGACTATCAACAGTATTCACTATGAAATATTGTAATTAGTAATACAGTGGTAGTAGTAGTAGTGGATGAAACTCTTGTTATAGTTGGATATTAAAACGAGATAAGGTTCTCCATGTTTTCAATGGTGATCTAACATTGATTGGTTCGTGATTTCAAAAACAGTTGTTAATGTCTTAAAAATATATATGGGTAGGACGTACCTTGAAATAAGTGAATCATGAGTGAACTAACATATCCTTTATGAAAATTGAGCTTTTAGAGTTTGTGGTGTTGTGTACACAGAGACTAAATGTTAAACCTCATGGATTTACGAAACATTCGATAGGATACCCGTTCAACCAGTTGGTGGCTCTTTGAAACCAGTCGA